CTTTGCTTGCAGGGGATGCAGTTAGAAATATTCTAACCTCTTAACATTTACCCAACTTGAATTAAATTTAATGGAGCATTTCTGAATTGGTTTGACTAATGTAACTTCTCTGCCCAAGACCAAAAAAGCTCCAGAATGCAGCATGTCTGTCATGACCATCTGCAGCTGTGTCTACCCTTCGAGATTTTAAAAGCCACTTGAGAGGTATAGCCGAGCCAACAGAGATTAATGTATTTATCTTGTGTGAATCTCATTTGTCTTTAGTTGCACAGGGCAGTAACATCACGAGCACTGCAGGCAGAGGAACAGATAATGAGTTACCCTACGCAGTCCTTATTTTACTTTACTGGTGCCATGAGGTAAAACATGAGGTAAAAGTCGGTTCTTCTGAGTCTCCAAGATAGAGCTGTACAGAGCCTGTTCCTCAGGACTTAAGGATCAATAACACTTATTCTGTGTGCCTCCAAAGTCCAACACTATAGTTTGGAAAGGTCTGAATAACTGATGCATGTACTCCACAGTTTCCCCTCTTGCTTATTTTAGAGTTTACAAATTATTGAAGTTTTTCTCTTGATGTGTGGCCTTGGCAGGGTTTAGCTTAGCCTAGCTCAAAGATGTTTTTGTGTGTAAATTAATTTGGGACTGAGAGAAATAGTACATCTACTTGCTAGACTTTCTGCTATCCGCCTGCCTCATTTGTACTCTCTTCATAATACAGTGGCAGTCTCTGATTTTTCCCCACCTTTTTTTTTTTTAACAATGCTGGAGGATGGCATGCTACTGCCTGCTTTCACTTGGTATTTCAGTGTTTAAATTGTTTGCGTTGGGTTGTTGCTTGCTCTGAGGGTACTTAAATGCATGTTGCTGACCTTTCTGAAGAATGGCTTGAAGCTATGTAGAAAATTTGCTTCCCTGTTCACATTATCCTATTTTGAGCATACAAATACAAGGGAGACTCCAGCCCAGAGCCTGGGGGTGCTCACCCTGAGCAGGGATCGCTGGAACTGCTTTTTAATAGCTTTAGGTTGCTGCTTGGCCTGATGACCATTGGCTGTTTTGATGGTACAGCATTGTAATGGTGTGAGACACCCCTCCTGAAACAACCCGGTGATGCAGCTTCCCTCCAGAGGATGCTGGAGATGTTGGTGTGAATCTTTTGGGGTGTACTTTGAACCTGTATCCCATCTCCTGAGAGCCGCTGTGGAGGGCAGCTCAAGAGCAATCCACACAGGTACCTGCAGCAGTGGATGGCTGTCTTCTAAGGGACACTTTCAGGCTAGAGTCTAGAGTTCAGAGGGAAGGGAGGTGCCTCTGCAATTCTAGTTTAAGTTGTCTGAGTCCCAAGGAGTCGTGGGATTTAAAGCACTCTTACCAGTGTCCTGTTAGACAGCTTGGATGCCTTTTTGCTGGTAGGTGTCTCTTCCTCTCTTTCTTCAGTGTGCTTGACTTGCCCTGGTCACTTCATAGGGACTTAGCATAGGGTGCTGGGTTACCATGTGTAGAGTGGGTGTCATGAGGCTCAGAGTCACGCTGTGTGTTTCTCCTTTCAGATTCAATTCTACAATGCTCTTCTCTTCAGTGGTGGGTGGGATTTCTAGAGTAACTGCTGTTAAGGGCTTTACATGTGTTGAATTGCCGCAAAAGGCAGAGGGGATAGTGGCATTGTAAGCAATTCTCCTGGTGTGCTCATTCAGACTGGAGTGCTATAAACAAGAGACAAAAAAAGACTTAAAATATTGAAGTTTTGAACTTGCCAGTTGTTCCTGTGCCCAGTATGACACTTGTGCACAAGCCTAGCACCCAGAAAGTTGGCAAAACTCTCCTGGCAAGGAGGTGCTCTGGTCTGCAAGAGCTTTCCAGGACTTTTCCTGGCAGGGGAGTATCCTGGAGAGGAAACTAGCCAGTGAGCAGACCTGACAAAGCAAGGATCTTGCAAAACAGAGGCAAAAATCTCACACAACGGTAGTGTGCTCTGTGGGTTTTATTTAGTGAGGATGATCAAGAGGGTGACGTCTGAAAAATTAGAAACCACTGTAGTGGCCAGACAAGTAGACATGCTGGACTGTTTCAGTAGCACAGGGTGGCTGATTCATGGTGCTGAAAATTTAATCTGTTTTACACCAAAAATAACCAAGCTGCTGGTGTTGGCACATACCCTGCATGTCTTTCAATGTGCTCTGTGATTGCTGGCACCAGCCTCAGGTTGACCCAAGGACTAGCTGCATGCTTAGTTTTGCTCCAGAAGTGCTGTTGTCCACTGTGTTCAATTTGCCCTCCCAGTGCTTTCTTGCACATTTGTCTCCTGGCTCACACATAATCTTGGCACTTAAAAGTACTTTTTTGCTATCAGCAGGTAGAAATTCACATAGGAACAGTGGTGTTTAATGGAATGGCTAGAAAACCTCAATGCAGGTTCAGCGATTTTGTTTGATATCTGGTGAGTTCAGATGAGTCCTTCCAGAAAAGGAGAGGGCAGTTTTTCACCACAGCTCTGCTACTCTGGAGCTGTACTTACCTCCTCCTGCATGATGAGAATTGGTGAGGCTTTTGCAGCACCTCTCATGAAGCCTCTTTACCTCAGTAAATGCAAGTCTTCAACATGTGCAGTCAGAGGTGAACTGAAGACATTGGATTGTTCCTTGAAATCTTCATTTTATGTCCTGATAGGTGCAGAGTGAAATTCAGGAAGGTACACTGCCAGTTTCTGTATTTGAACAGAAATAAGGATTTAGAAGAATAGAGTTCATACGCTGAAGGGACGGTAATTAACAACACAAAAATGAGCTATTGCTTTTGATTCATATAACTTAATCAGTGTGGAAATAAAAGAACAGATAACGAAGATGAAGAAAATTAAGTAATCATGGAGTAAATGAAAGAGATCAAGTACACCATCTAAATGTAGCTCTATTGGGATTTTTCTTAAAGTGGTCGCTTTTCTTGTGGATGTACCTGTCCTTTCCTGCTAACCAGCCTTTTCTGGCTGTTGTCTGTTTTTCACCACTGTTAATTGCATCCTGTAGTGTGGTCCTGCGCTTCCCATGCCGCCCTGAGTGTTCCTTTCCCTCCATCTTATTGCATCATAAGTATTTTTTTAGAGAATATCCTTGTGAGCTCTGGGTGGCACAAGTGGAAGGCTCTTAGTTCGTGAACTGGCTGTGTCACTGACTGCTTGTCCATCTTGAGTGCCCATCAGCTCTCTTTCAGTGAAAATAAAATTAAATTGCAGAGAGCAGGAATGGGAATGCTCTGAATATTGATGTTCATTAATTGAAATGTGTAACTGAGTGTCTGGTTTCATGGATGAAACTTGACTTCTGCCAGGTATGTTACCATATGCAAAATGTCAAGAGGCTGGGTGTAAATCATTTTATGAACTGTGATTCAAAGCATCTAGATTGATTTAAAATCTCTTATGTGGAAGGAAAAAAAAAAAGGTCTAATAGTTCACAGGCTAGATTTTAGTCAGATTGAGCTCTCTTACTTTTAGACCACTGGTTTATTACCCTTTGGCATGGTGATACAACCAGCACAATTCATGGTTTTCATGCAGTTCCTGTGCTAAGAGTTACCACTCATAATAGAGCAGGGGGAGCAGAGAATGTATCTCTATTCAGCCACTCCAGTTCCCTTTGACATCTTTGTTGAAACCTGTCTTCACTGATGGCTTTGGAGGCTAATACACAGAGCACCCTTTCTCCTGACTGTTGTAGAAGGGTGGTGATACAATGGGGATAATCTGCAAAACCTCACAGCAAGATTCACCAGAGCTCATCTGTCAGACTGCACTGAGGTGAACTGCATCAGGCTGAAGTCTGGTGCCTTGGAATAACAAGTAAAATGTCCAAATGTCCTATTTTTCCAAGACAAATCTAGGCATGAAAATGAATGGATGAATAAATGAAGAGTTTGTAATTTAAGTAGACAGGCAAATATCATCTGTGTCCCGGATGCCAATGATGCCTGATAACCCTGCGAGATTACTATGCCAACCGTTGTTTTTTGGTGGTTGTTTGGTTTGATTGACCCATTAGTGAGACTTTAAACCTCTTGCCTTCCAAGGAGGAAAGCTTTTTTTCTTTCTAGGAAGTTCTAGCCTGTGGAGCTCTCTCTGCAGGTCATGAGGAATTAAAAGGGAAAAACAGAGCTCTAAGTTCTTTGTGTAACTACTTCTGTAGTAATGAGGCTACAAATGGCTTGCATTTATACTCTGTACTCTGCCAGCATATTACAACATAACTGAAAACTCATTCTCAGTGAAGATGTTCTCTTCTTGACCCTAAAACCTATTTAAATATATATTTTATTTATTTATATATATATATGTGTGTGTGTGTATATGTATCTCCCCCCTTGGATTTTGAGGATGTCAGTGTTTGAGATGTATCATGGTTTTCTTTCCACACACCATAGTCTCTTTGATCCTGAGTTCAGCCCATCTTTCATTTGCGAACTTGTTTCCAAAGCACCCATTGCTTTTGAATTTCAGGAACGACATCATGAAAACAACATAATGAAAAGAGGAGCTCTAATTAGGTTCAGTGCAGTCTCATGCCTTGTATAAAATTTGCTTTTAAGTGAGCAGCAAGAGTCTTAATAAATGACCTTTTAAATCTTATTTTGATTTTATTCAGGTATAGCAGTGTGCTCATTAATAATGATCCTGCGATAGGTCTCCCATTACAGCTTTTTTTGTTAATTAAATGGGATGTAAGATGCATTGGATGTTTTCAAAATGAAAATGAGAGTTTTTAATAGATCCCCTGATTAAGAATACAGGTCTGCATACATGATGGTGCCCTGAAAAAAATATCACTTAACAGCTGTAGCTAAAGTACCGTACTTAGGCAAGCAAAACTTGCTTTCTCCCTTACCCTGTTCTGGCTTGTGATGGTCTTACCTTAAGGAATATGTTTAATCTCATTTTACAGGAAGGGAAGGCTGCTAAAGAAATGTTTTACATGTTGTATATTTAATATATCCATTCTTTTGTTTAAAAGGCATCATACATGAGGCAAAAGAAAGACCTTTACTTTGGTGATGGACAAAGGAAAAAGGATTGGCATAACAAAGAAGCTATAAGGAGGGACTCTGAGCGTGTAGGTATGTAAGATTACTATAAAAATGTTTTAATACAGATTATAATTTAGTTTGATTTTATTTTGTAGGCTGAGTACAGAACAGCATTTTCAACTTGAGGGTCAAGATGATGGTTTTGACTTGATGCAACAGTTACCGTGTGTTAATTCCAGTTAAAGCCTTTTCCCCCAACTCCACAATAACCATTTTGAGGTGGAAATGTATTGGTAACATCTTGGTATTTTTAGGATAGGTACAGTATTGGTTTTTAAAACACTTACCAAAAAAAATGGAATATACCTGTACCTCTCCCAAAAAATGGGAGATCCAGGAATGAAAAGGAGGGATAAAAAAATGTTCTAGATTATAACGTTCATACGAGTTTTATTCCATAGTTCTGTGTTTTTGTCTTGTTTCACATAAAAGGGCCTGTTTTGAATGTCACCGCTTTATACTGGTGTGTCTGCAAGGGCTCTACGTCCTCTGTGCAAAAGCTCAGGTTGTTAAATATACATATCCATCTGTGCTGAAAAAAGCAACAGTGGTGAGGTATTCAAACCATATGTATTCTTCCTGCAGTAAAACAAAAATCATTCTATAGATCCTCCATAGCATTGCCATAGCCCCTTCATCTGTTTCTGATGTTAGAAGGAAGACTTTTGACTTCTATGATTTGCACAGATGAGTGGTTTATAGCAAAACTGCTTGTCAAAATTGTTAGGTTGACATGGTTGTCCCAGTGCTAAATATGGCATAAAGCACAAAATTAATGAAGGAATTTTCAAAGGGCTATAAGATGACTGTTGTTCTTTTAATATATGGATCAGTTTCTGACCAGTTAAGCACCAATTAGTAGTAATGATGCATGTTTACTTTCTGTCTGTCTATAGGAAATGGAGAACAGGGGAAACCTTACCCAATGACTGATGCAGAGCGAGTGGACCAGGCGTACAGGGAAAATGGCTTTAATATCTTTGTGAGTGATAAAATTTCTCTGAATCGTTCCCTTCCAGACATCAGACATCCAAAGTGAGTATATAGTTTGCATTTCTATGTGTGAAAGTTTACAAGCCCTAGATTATCACATCTGCAGGAGAATGTTCTTTTTTTGTTATGGACTCTTGTACCTTTATTCATGAAATACAATCCTTTCACAGCTGGGTCCTGCTGTCTCCTTCATAAAGAACAGTGTATAGTAATTGCAGCAGAAAATACAGGAGACCAAATCTGGGGAAAAAAATCCCCTTATGATTCCAAAAGACTTAAAATTACCAGAAACTTGCAGGCCTGTGTAGAAGAGATCTTGAACTTAACCCAGAGGTGAACTATTTCCTTCACCTCTCACAATGTGACAGTTCAGTTTCTGAGCCTACTGACATAGCCAGCAGCTTTTAGCAACTAATAAGGTAAAACTATTTCTTTCTGTAGTAGAAACTGATGTAAATGTCCCACTCAGTTGACAAGTGCCCTAAGTGTAGTCAGGTGATGACTTTGTCACTAAGCACTGCCCAGTTCTTATGTCAGCCACTAGCTGGAAATGACCCTGAAATGCTCAGAAGCAGGAGATCTGAGTGGCTCCATTCAACTATGTATGAAGAGTTTTATAAGAAATTGTTGGGATTTATTTATTAGTTTCTTAGACATCTTCCTCATAAAAACCTTATCAGGCTTTACGAGTAGAAACTAGTTCATGTTGAATGCTGGCTTTTGAGTTAATCTATTTTTGGACATTATTCCTTAGGATGGTGTCAAACTGGATTTTGTGTAAGCCAGAGGAGTTTTTCATTAGCAAAAGTGCTTCGGTTAGGATTTAACCTTTGTTTATACAAAGCTGAGACATGTTTAAATTCTGTTTGTGCAGTTCTTAATCTGAAAGCATTGTTAGATATTTGAATGGAAGCTTGTTTTGTGTAAAACAGTTTTGATCACAATTTAGTGAATCAGAATTCAACATCTACTTTATTCATGAGATATAATTTCCAAAAGTCAGGCTTTATAATTTGTTAGCTGCACATATGAAAGATTACCTCTTCACCTGTCACAGCAAACTAATCAAATACACTGGCTTGACACCCTTTTTCAATATATACTCATAAACCACAGTAGTGAGTATAGCTCCATAAATATTTTAGGCATGCAGCTGAAATGTTTAAACACAGAGATAAATCAGGTAACTGAAGATGCTTGTTGATCAGCCCATACTCAAGTTGTAGGAAATACAGTTTGAGTTTGCTACCCTAAATTATACCTGGCCTCCATTTACAGGGGCTGCCATGGACTCAGTGAATTTAAACATCAGACAATGCCAGTATTTCCTCATCTCAGGATTTAATATATTACCTCACATACTCTATTGTTTCCCAAAGTTGCTGACTCCTTGTTGCTAATTCCGGCTATTTAAACTTTTTTAAAATATGAAAGTTCCAACTTCAGTCCCCAGTTAAAATTAGTAAGTGAAATGTCTGGGTCACCAACAACTTAAGCTGTGATTAATGATGCTGCTGCAGCTGGTTTGCTTGTTGCTTGACACATCCTTTCCCCAAACATAGTGAATTTTAATTGTGGAGATCTCAAGGAGAGGATAAACACTATGTGTATAATGGATGCTAGGATTAGCTGGGCAGGGAGTGGGGTTACGTATAATGGAGATTTGCAGTAAAGGAATTTATGACTGAAAAAGTCTGTTGTGCATTCTCTGTGCCCATTAAAAAAGATATATTTGAAATGGAATGGTTTGTGTTATTTGGGAGGTTGATGAGGGCAATTTATAATGAAGTTAGGCTGAGACAAAGTCCATAGAGAGCATTCCAGAAAAAAAGGAGCTGTCTTAGACCTTTTACTTTACCTAGCTTTTTAGGAATAGTAAGAGATAATAGACACTTAGTCGTTTGGAGATGTGCCCGCAGGCAGCAGGAAGTGTAAGGGGAAGAGGAACTGGGGAAAAATGCGGCATCTGTCCTGTCCTAAGCGTTGGGGCCACAGCTGGGATTCCTCCCAACAGCTGGCTTGGGTGAGAAAGGGCAAAGCAGCAGCCATTGTGTTTGCTCTCTTCTGAGACGGTGTGTGTGTGCCTTTACATACCCAATCGTGTGTCACCTCTGCTTCCTGTTAATCAGGGGGCTGGGGGAGGGCATGTACTGGATCTGCCTGGCACACACATACAATTGTTTGTTTCAACAGTCATGTCTTCCCCTGCTAACATTTCCTTTAAGTGTTTTTTAATATTAAATACTAATTTTGCAGGTATGTGAAGCAATTGTAAGTGTGGTAGCTGGAGGGAAACTTTTTCTCCGTGCTTAATAGTTAAACTTAATAGCTAAAGTTTCTCACTTGTTAGAAAATGAGAATTCCAGTTTAAGAAGAGTTAGAAGAGATTTGGGGGCTCTTGTTTCATATTGGAAGAGAATTATAGCTAGTATCTATCTTAGAAGAAGGTTAAGTTTGCAATGCCAAGGGCTGGATGAAAGCAGTCCATGCAGCTTTATTTTGCATCTTGCATCTGTGCATTGCAGCCGCAGCCTGCAAGCTCTTGGCAGCATCCCAAGACAATTCATTAGACCCAGAATAAGCTACTGTCCTTTCATGCAGGCACCACAGTCACTTCCTGTAATCACAGATTTATTGAGCTTATGTAACATAGGTGCATCCTTCTCCATTCCCTGGGAAAGGTACCAGGAAAAAAGCTGCCACTGCCAGAGCCGCTTTTGTTCCCATCTGCGCTTCCGGGGAGCAGAGAGGGAATTACCTGCATGCATGCACTGCATTGTGCACCTAGTGGCAACCTAACCAAGTGCCTGGGAGGAGGGTGTCTACAAATCAGCTCTGGCGCAGGCTATGCAGAGGTCAGATTTTGTGGCAGAGCAGGGAGTGGAGTACGACCTCTCTCCCCTGCTAGTGGAAAGAGGGCAGCCTGCCCTGCTGGCAATGTCATCAGTATATTCTAAAAATCTCTATTCATGTATCCACCTCTGTCTGTTTTGCACTGGACACCTGGGGTTCTGGGAATGAAATAGGGTTTTGTCCCCTAGTGAACAGCTGCTCAGTATTTTTGAACTACAGTTGTTCATTGTATGGCTTTAGATCCTTACCTCTTTAACAATGTTCAAACTCCACTGATAGGGCCACACCTGCAGGAAAATAAACACTGCAGTTACTGCAGCAGTTTGAATTTTCTTCATGAAGCTACCTTGAAAACACTCCCACAAGGCAAGGGAGCAGCACCCCTATTTCAAAATTAAGATTAATGCTGTGGGGAAATACCCCCAAATTCAAGGGGTCCATATGGGGACTTTGCAGAACTGACTCTCCAGCCTTTTCCAAGTTCTGCAGTGCTTTGTGTTCAAAGCCCAGCTTTCTTTGCTTCTGTCTGCAGAACTGATCCTGTGTATCAAGCTAGACCTGCTGAAAAACGGGGAAGACGAGATTGATTGCTTAGGGAAAGTATGATTTGAATAATTTGTCCAGCATGACACAGGAAGCCTTTGGCAAAGGTTGGAGGCTGATCTAATACCGATGGAGGTGGGTTTGTTTATGAAGCAGTTCTTACCATGCAATTATCCTGTCTCTTCCATCTGTAGTTCACAAAAGCTTGAACTTCTGGGACTGTTTAGGGAAAATGTTGTCATACAAAATCCTTACTTAGCACATTTAATTTAAAAATGTTGGATGACACTTATACATGTGATTAGAGTGATTTGTTTCTCTGAAGACTGGGAACAAGGAAGCTAAACCAATGTAATGATAGTGCCTAGAACAGATATATCCAACTTCTGGAACAGCTTTGTAGAAATCCCTCTTCCTCATGATCTTTGAGGTATAAGGACAAGAAAAACAAGTATTTTTGAGAGTTCTGTATGCTAACTTATATCTGCAGTTTCCTTTAAAAGCCATTTCAACACTTTATAGATCCCTCTGACTTTGTGTCATTAAGTGTCACTACTGGCCATTAACAGTCCCCACTTCATATCAAATGGTCAGGTTTTGGCCAGGTAGTCTAGGTCAGGTCAACACTGGCTTGATAAGTGATTTTTTTTTTCAGGCACTTTGCATCAATTTGACGAGTAAAGGATGAACTAAGTTACTTAATGGTAATTAATATGGAAGTGCTGGTAGTTTTTGACACCACCTTTTAACCTTACTCTACCTATGTCCAGCTGCAAGAGTAAGCTGTACCTGGAGAAGCTTCCAAACACTAGTGTGATAATACCGTTCCACAATGAAGGATGGTCCTCCCTCCTCCGGACAGTGCACAGTGTCCTAAACCGCTCCCCTCCTGAGCTGATAGCAGAGATAGTGCTGGTGGATGACTTCAGTGACAGAGGTATGATAATTTGTATGTAACAACTCCACCTATGTTTACCTGCCTTAAGGAATCAATGAACTTGCAAATACGTGTATAATGACGTGAGGTTTTTCACTTGCCAGCAGCAGAGCTCTGGTGAACCTTGCTTCAGTACATTTGAAAGGCCAAAATTCCAGCAAAAACCCTCATGTTCCATATTCAGTCTGTGCTGGTTTAGCTGCTGGTGACATGGGCTGTCCTGCATTTTGGACAATGTGAATAAACAGGGAAGCTGGTTTTAATATTCTCCTAAGGGCCTGTGTAGCCCTTAACACTTAAACCCAGGATTAAATGTTTGATTCTTGGAATACAAAAACAAAAAAAGAGGAGGAAATAGCTCACTTCTGATGTTCTACTATTTTTTCCTAGACACAGAGAATGGTAAAAGAAGCCTTGATAAAAGGTTTCCACCTCAGACTGACTGTGATTTGGCTGACTTTTCTCCTGAATTTTGTGCTCCTGAAAAGTAAATCTGCAACATGCAAAACTTTGACTGCTCTTGCTTGCTGAGTTGTTTGCAACTATACTATCTTCTCCTTTAAAATTACTAAGACTATTTAGCTTTATGATCTGCAGAGTTCAAGAGTCCTGCCACTGAAATTACTCAACTGGGAGAAAAAGAGATACTAAAGGATATACCTCTAAAAAGTTGACATGTAGGAAGCTCTTAAAATGAGCTTGGAAACAAGCATGTGAATATTTAGCATTCTGACATATACTGACTTTCAAATAACCACTACCCAACAGCTGTAGTATTTGTTCTAAAGTACGTCTCTAATTAGCTTACAAGCAAGGTGTGCTGGTTTGTACAAATCAATGTTATATGAAATAAGTGTTTCCTTAGAGGATTTTCAGACTAAGCTGGGGAGAAAAAAAAAAAAAAAACACACCCTTCTAACAATGTCTCTTTAGTGCTACTCAGTCTAGAAGCAAATTAGACAAGCTCATGCTGTAACCAATTGTCAACAAGTTTCTTTTGAGAGAAGTGGAAGTAATGAAATCTGGTTTCCTGTGGATCTATTTTCCTTATTGTCAAGATGTGCCCTTCTGACCAGGCGAAAGAGAGCACTCCTGGCTCTCTCACCCTTGCTCTTCATCAGCCTGTACATATGCTGTTCATCCAGATCACTCTTGTGCTGTTCCACCTGCCTCTGATAAGATGCAAGCTCTTCTCTGTCAGCCATCCATCTTTCATACAAAGGTTGCAAGAAGTAGCCGAGATTAATTTGTGTGCAGCACCTATTTATAGATGGACATAGAAGACTACTGATGTTGGACAGTGAGCTAAACTGTTGAGGGAGGAGAACAATACACAGGCAGAGAGTGCTAATAAAAAACTTTATTTTATTTTTATTTACCTAATGTTTTCCTGCTAGCTTGGTTGATCTATTCATGTTGGGACAATTGCTGATTAGGATGAAACACTTTTCCTTCACTGCTGTCAGTTCTGTATCTACGCTGTAGCGTTTCCTGCTGGCTGCTGCTCCTTTTCCTGCAGTCAGCGTTCTTCCTTAACCACACTGGGGTTGACTTCCACATCCCACCCTGGGTTTAAATAGATCCTTAGTCTTCAGGAGGCTGTTAAGTCCTAAACATGTTATCTTGACTTGAAAGGCTGCTGGTTACAATTTTCTGGTTTTAATTTATCCATTGTATGTATTTAGAAAGAATAAAAAAAATACCACAAGAAAACACTTCAACCCGATACCTGAGAACTGATAATTTAATGCATCAAACTGAAAGACATGAAGGAGTGGAGACTCCAGGAAAACTTTTACTTTCCATGTTGTATGTTTGGAGAGGCCACGTTCCTGGATTTGGACTGTTAGGCCACTGCTCTGGTTATCTGTCTCTTATGATTAAATTGAGCAGGTGATACAAACGCTGTGTCCAAGCTGATGATCATCACTGCTGTGCACAGAACCATTGAGCAGTAAAAAGAATAAGGAGACATTTCATGATTTTCTTTGAAAATCGTATGTGATTAGTCCTCTGTGTTGTCTGCAAGGTGGAATGCTGTGCTTCTGTTTCAAATGGTGGTTCCACAAATTTGTAACAGCATCTTTTTTCTAAAATTATAGAATCACTGTTGGATGTAGTTATAGTAGAGGCCACATTTGAGACCAGAGAGGCATAGTATGAACAGTAAATGTCAGCTTCTTCCCTAAAGAGTTCAGTAAACAGTCATCATAAACTCCAGTGAAAAGCAAAAGATGAAAAGGATATTCGCTTAATAAAAACTGATTATTAATTTTTTTATCAAGAGGTTACCCTGACAAGATAAAATATCAGATATAGTCTGCTGTACCTCATGATGACCTTTCACTTGAGGGTTGTCTAAACAGACCTCTAACCCTTTAAAAACTGTTTAAAGAGACTAACCTTCACAAACTTGGCTTTCCCTGGCAAGGAGACTATATCAGTCTTGCTAGCATTTCTTGTGTACTGACCTGTGTTGGGGTTAAATGCAGTGGCCTTTGCCAAGCAGCCCCTGCGGTTCTGTTAGCGTTGTGCTCTTGTTCTATCGTAAGGATTTCTGCAGGTGGTGATGTTAGTGCCAATCCATCAGCGTCTTTCATCTGTGTACCTCATACACAGAGAATCTTTGCTTCACATGAAGTAAAGAGGGCTTTGCTAATAATAGAAATCGTAAGTATGGAAATCTGGCTACTGCACACATCGGTGTTTTTTCTGACAGATGTTACTTTCATATGTTTTTCATCTGTTTTTAAGCTTGGGAGTAAAGAATTTTTGGTGTAGCTGGGAAAAGGGTTGAGAAGTTGGCTAACAAAATGATAGAAGAGTGAAGACAGATTTCTGGGTTAGTTGGTGGCTGCTGTGGTCTGCAGCATACCTGAGAGGCAGCTGTGTTGCTTTGCGTTATTGGAGCTCTTAGACAGATGAATCATCATCTGGAAGTGTCAACAGCCATTTATTTCTTAATTTGTTTGATAGAGACAATTCTGTGACCTTTAGCAATAAACATTTTTCAACCAAAAAAGGCTGACAGCAAATCTTAATAGCGAGCAGCAAAGCTTTGAGTGGTGTTTTTGAAATGTTTCCTTTGCTTTGTATTTGAAAAATCAAAATGTGCTGGAACAACTTGCTGTCTGGAATTTTTTATGCATGCCTGTAGTATAGTGCAAATGATCAAAATCTAGCCTTCAAATGCATTTAGTGCTGGATTCCACATCAGCCACAGTGCTCTGGGAAAGGCTACCTCTTGGTGGGATCAGTCTAACACGGTACAGCAGTAGCATCCAGTTTGTCTTGAGCTGTTGTCCACGTTGTCACCTCCAGCAGCTGTCTTTGCTGACACTTGAATCTTTCTTTGTGGGGATTCCTTTGTTAGGATAAGTTAGCTTAAAGGCTGCTGCTTTATAGCATGTGCCATTGGTCACAACAGAGTAAATATTGTGGAGCTATTTTCTACTTTCTTTAATAGTAGTCTCTAGTATCAGTATGGTATTCCCAGTAAGATTATGATAGCTTATTTTTTTTCCCAGAAAACTTAGTTGGAATGTCTGTGATATAAGGACTTTCTTTTCCCAACCATAAGCATTTCAAAACAATTGTAAGGATTTAATGTGCAGAAGAATATAGGCTATATTGAAGAGGGAGGCACCCATTCGGCAGACTTGGAGAATCAGAATTAACCTGCTCGGTGTTGTGTGCTTGTCCTGCATGCCACTGAGAACTGCTAGAGACCCACAGACTGACCTCCTCGAATTAACCTCAGCTATTTCAGGGTGGTCCAGAATAGCGCCCGCCTGGCTGGATAAGCGGAAATTAGAATGCAATACATGTGAATTACGATTTTAGAATTCCTGATCATAAAAACGCTTAGCTGTGGCAGTCCTGTGTGGATTTGTGGCTTCACTTTAAATTTCTATAGCTATTCTTTAGTTCTGATTTCAGCTAAATTAAGCCTTTTCATATGCTGGCTTGCAGGGTACTAATTATATCCCTCTGAGCTTGTTGTTACCAGAATGGCCCCAAGTAAACTAAAATGCTTTTTTCATGTATATCAGTTTTCTCCTGGGGACTGTCAGATGTGAAATTTGTTTGCTTTTTGATTATTTAATTACAATGCTGCTGAGTGGTGAGTGAGTTCCATTATATCATAGAAGTGGGAGGAGGGGAAGAGAAGTTGAAATGCAGGTCAGTTTGTAACACTGCAGGTTTTTGTATCGGCTCTGATGACATTTTATTATTGATAGCAGGCAATGAGTAACAGACAGGCAATTCATGATTCTTCGGGGTCTGTTTCAGTCCCTGGACCTACAGTCTCATTCTGTCTGTGGTTGTGAGAAATCGAGTCGTTCATCTCTAGTGTCTGCCTTGTACAAAAGGGATTGTTGGTCTCCATCTAATTCTTGTAGCTTGTGGACACCTCTGCTGTACAAGCTATCTCTAAGCTTGCATGAACAAATGTAAAGCTGTTCTCTGTCTCTCACTAGATAAATGAACAGCCTCAAGCTGAAGGAACAGAGGGCGGAGGATGGCAGATTTTTCTTTGCAGGATGCTTGTCTAAATGTTCTTTGCTTTTCACCTGATATGTATTTGGTAGCTCTGTACAGCAGTGGAACATCAAGTATATACTGCTACTGGGTAAAAGGCAGAAGTCAAACTCTCCTCTATTCTGTCTGTTTTGAAGAAGAGTTCTTTTTCAGGTGGACACTGGACTGGAACATGTATGGAATCACAAATAGTTGAGGTTGGAAAGGATGTCTGGAGATCATCTAGCCCAACCCCTCTGCTCAGCTACAGCAGATTCCTCGATCTTACTCAAGTTTTGAAAATCTTCAATGATGGAGACTCCATAATGTCTCTGGGGAGCCTCTTCTGCTGTTCAGTCACTCTTACAGTGACTTAGTTTTCAAGTAAAAAAAAATCCTTATGTTTAAGCAGTCTTTCCTGTACTTCAGTCTGTGCCCAAGGACTCCCAGGTCCTCTTCTGCAAAGCTCCTTTCCAGCT